CCCCAAAACCCCAAAACCCCAAAACCCCAAAACCCCTCTGGTTAGTTTTAATAAACAAATTTTTGATAAAATAAATTGGTTATGTCTTATGAAACAGCCTCTTCAGGCGAGGATGAAGACTTGAGTGATAACTATAGCGATGAGAAACAAGGTCTCATTGATAAGACTAATGAGTGTGGCGTTCCATTGTTCTATGTTGACACGAAAGTAAGCATACATAATAATATTGCGGAAATTGAGTTCCTTCAATATTACTTTAATGATAAGAATGGCCCAATACAGGCTGAGCATGTCTTCCCAGTGCATGCTAACTGTACCTTTACTTCTATGAAGGCTTATATCGGAGATGAAGTCTTACAAGCTGAGGTGATGGAAACTGAAGAAGCTAAGAAAATCTATGTTAATTCTGAGGAAGGAGGTTCAATAGGAGTTATAGCTTACCCATTTCCGAGAACTCGTGATATCATGGTTGTTCAGATGGGGAATTTACCTCCTAATACTCTTGTAATTCTCTCTTGTGTTTTCCACCAGGTGATGGAAATAGAAGATCTTAGCTGGAGACTTCATATACCAAGTACGATTCATCCAAGATACTTTGGTGATCTCAATAGTTATATACATTCAGGGGCTAACTTGAAAGGGATGGTCCAAAACATGTATCCTGAAGATAGTCTTGAAAGGCAACAACAGCATGTTGACAGAATTGCAAGCTTGTACTCCACCAGTGAATTCTTATGGGGGATTGAAGTTATTATTAATTCCCCATCTCCAGTCACAAGAGTCATCAGTTCTTCACATGAGATTAACACCACTTTCTCAGATGAAAATAATCAAGTTGCTAGAATAAACCTTGATTCTTCTGATGCCAATAGCTTTTTTGAAAGAGACTTCAAGCTTCTTTACAGAAACAGGGAGGTCAATAGACCAATAGCTGTGGCTCAATGCAAAGGAAACATCTATGCCTTGATGGTCTCAATGCTTGCTGACTGCACTCCTGAGATGGAATGGGATTCTGAAGCTAAATACCAAGAAGTTGACATGGATCCAGACATAATGTATAAGCAAAAAATTGAAACTCAGATAGATCCACCTCAGTACACTTTCATCATTGACTGCAGTGGCTCAATGTATGGAAGTAAAATGGCATTGGCAAAGGAAGCTCTGGCTTTATACATAAACAGTTTACCTCCTCGATGAGAGTTCAATATCCTTCGCTTTGGAGATGACCATGAGTTTTTGTTTGAAGATTACCAAATCTACTCTAACGAAAGTCTTCAAGAAGCTATAGAGCTAATAGATGAAATTGAAGACGATATGGGAGGAACTGAACTCTTCAGCTGCTTCAAGAGTTTATTTGAGAATGGAGATGCTAATAGATCAGTCCAAAATCGCGTCATCCTCCTCACTGATGGCTCTGTTTATAACCCCGACCCAATTTATGAATTAATTCGAGAAAATTCTGAGAATTATTCCTTAGATGCATTTGGAATAGGGTCAGGTGCGAGTACAGATCTTATTATTAATTGAGCCAAGGCAGGAAATGGGAAACATTACATGATCGATGATTCTTGAGATGGTCTTAAGAAGGACATCATCAACTGTCTCTCAAGCTCATTCTCTGAGAAAATAACAGTTATGAGAAAAGACTTTGCTGCTGGAGGAAAGAAACTCTACGAGTATCCAAAATTCGTTGATATTGAGTGCTCAATGGCTCATGGGAGCTACTTCACATACTACTGCATTATCGACACTCGTGGAAAAGGCTTCAAAGGAAGCATCTCCTTTGACGTCCAAGAGAAAAAGAATGGAGAAGAGGACGATCACTTAATCGACCTCAAAAATGATGTTAAAATTATTGATGGAGATTTCATCTTCAAAATGTTCTGTGATAGCTATATTAAAGATAGTAACAAGTTGGAGCTTGGAAAGGATAAAATCATTGAAATGTCTCTAAAATATCAGACAGCCAGTGATTACACCTGCTTAGTCATTATAGGCTCTGATAATAAGCCAAAACAGGTCGTACCAGAGACAGCAAGACCAGAGGAAGTAAAGACTAATGTTGGAAATATAAACGTTCCTGAAAACCAAAAGCCAATTATTGTCTTTGTGAAGACAGGAGAAGAGCAAAAAGAGCTGGCAATTTACTGTTCAGAAGAAGCTTGAATAAATGATTTATAAAGAATAAAGTATGTGATATGCAAGGTAAACCTCGAGGTAGTCTACACTTGATCTACAAAGGCGGAAAAGTAGATTATGGAAAATCTCTGTCAGAATATATGATCAGAAATGCAAGTATAATTTATGCAGTCCCAGCAAGGAAAGCGAACGAAGTCCCTATAATCTTCCACAAATCAAAATCAGAGATCTCTTTCGAAGAACTAGTCAAATTTCAGAACTTTGATGGTTCATGGGGCTACATTCTTGAATTTTTGGCTACTCTTGATGAAAATACTTTGAAGTCAAAATTACAAACTCAGATCCGCGAGACTCTAGAAGATTCTAAAATAGAGTCAATCTGGTACACTTGGCTTGCTCTCAGCATTCTCAAGGCTCACTTCTCTCATTATGGACAAGAACTAGAATTGATTACCAAGAAAGGCAAGGACTATATCTACAATACCACTAAAGGAAAGGCAACCTTTGAAGATCTCAAATGTATGATCTGCTGGTACTAGTTCTTCCCTATTCAGATCTAAACGAAATTCAATAGCTAGCTTATAGTAAGGGGTTTTGGGGTTTTGGGGTTTTGGGGTTTTGGGG